ACAAAACTAAAGCTTTAACAAAAGAAATTAAAAAGTATGAAAATAAATTAACTGTTTTAAGAATATATAGTTTGGATACACTGTGTTGAAAAACAAAAAATAAAGGTTTTTGATGAGTGAATTTACTGCGGTGAAAAGAATCTGACCTAAACTCTTCAAAAATAAAGACTTTCTTTTTCAAGAAATAGTGTGCATAAGTGTAGGCCTACATAACCGTTAGAAATGTTGATCAGCGGCCTCATCAAACTAATTATTAAATTAGCTACTTTTTAATTCATCTGTGGCGTTTGCTGTTTTGGGAGAGGTATAGTTACAAGTACAACCCTATAACAAACATTTGAGTGTTGAGAGATAGTCAAAATATAGTCTAATGCAGTTTAATATCATAATTTGTGTGCTTTTGTAATTTTAGCAATAAACGCTAAATTTCTATTTCCCAAAAATGAAAATAAGGTTTTCTCACAACAGGGGTTATTGTTTACGCACAATATCTTTTATTAATGCTTCATGACATAACAACAACATCCTCTTCTTCATTTTGTCTAGAACAAATACAGTAGGCTATCTTGGATCTCTACCGGTCGTTTGTTTAAGTATAATATTTAACCATTAGAAGGCGGCAGAGCCTATACCACTTTGCTTTGGAATGAGCAGAGGTTCTCAACCAGGGGCCCACTAGGGGGCCTCAGCATACTTCCAGGAGCGTCACAATAAATGTTCAATAAATGAAAATGATTTACATTTAGTTATAATAAAATAAAACTACCTATAGAAGACAGAATAATATAAAAGAAATGTTTTAAATAAATTATGTTTATGTTATTAATTTACAATTAATTAATTAATTTAGATTAATTTTATTTTTTTATTTTTTTATTATAATTATTATTTTTTTTTTTTTTGCAAATAGTTTTGCAATTTATTTAGCAAATTGGATGACTAAGTGTGCCTGGACAAGATTAGAGCAAATTAACTCTATTTTAAGACTTCATGGACTTTTTTGGATTACGATTCAAAATCAAAACACATCTCAATATACTCCCTTAATAAATGTAGATTCTTTTGTACTTCACTGTGTTTTATTGCTATATTTTAATTTCATATAATGTCGCAGTTTAAAGTTCCCATAAATATTTAGAGCAATCAGAATCATGGGCCTGTTTCACGCCTGTTTCACTATTTATTTTTACTTAAATGTATTGCGTTCTCTTCTTCATAAAGTATGTGAACCATCAAATTTCAATGTAGGTAAGCCATATATATTTTAAAAGAATTAGTTTTTAACAATATTTTACTCCATTAAAAAATACTGTAAATATTTAAACGTTTAAAAAAAAATTCTCATTGCAACAATTTGAACAATGAGCATATAATCATCAAATGCAGCAATGAAAATATCAATCATAGCAAATCAAATACTGAGATAAACATAGAATATTAATAGAAGAATAGGCATCCTGCTGTGCATTGTGAATGATCAATGAAATGATATGTCTTTAGACTCATTTACAGTAAGCCTATTTTTCGCTTTGTTATTTCGTGTTGTTGTTATTATGAAGGCAGTGACCTATTTCTGTTTTAAAATAAGTGAATATGTTTTTGTATTTAAACGTTTTCTGTACACGGAGACCTCTGATAGCGTCGGGGGCTTTTATTTTGTAATTCTCCTCGCTGCAGGTTTCCGGAAGTCCTCGCTGCTGTTCGTGCAGTGGTGTTTGTAGCCTGAATACACACACACATACACACACACGGTTGTCCGCACAAAACAGGCTAAGAAACAACACACCGAAACATCATATTCCAGGACTTACACCGCTGCTCTCTAGAAAAGGCCGAAGGAGACCCAAATAAGGTGTGAGGTTGTTTACTTCTCTTTTCTTGGTTCTTGTTGTGAAGCTCAGTGTTGTAAAGTGCATGCAGAGATCACATCATATGCAAAAACCACAAATGCATTTACGCCCAAAGTCTGATTCTGCAGAAATACTAATGGGGGAAAGGGGCCTCGCATCCTTTGTGGTTTGTACCGCCTTCATTTAAAGATAAAGAAAAGAAGTGGCTAGAGGCCTGTCTTATCTGTGTCCATTACACTGGGCCTGTGCTTGCGCAAAAATCCTGAGCTGTGTCTCAAACCAAGTGAGCAACCTACCCAGGGAGCGGTTTTGCCCATCATAGGCATGTTTGAACCTGTGAATCATCATTATAGAATGATTGTATGTAGACAGCTGTCTAGGTTTGAGACGCAGCCCAAGTGAAGCCCCTCTGTCATTCAGATTGAGGTGCAAAGTTTTGTTTATGGGTTTATATCGCATTTAGACGTGGCCTGCAGGTGGATTAGCTTCACAACTTCTGCTGATTTGCATAGTTGTTGTTGCTGTGAATATTATGTGTTGATATTAACAGTTTGGACGTGTTCAGAGCTGTAAAGTGTAATTTGACTGTGCAGTGCATTGCTGTGGTTTTGAGCCATTATCTGCATTATCATCTATAGACTAGAGACTATATGTTGAATAGTCTCTCATGAACAGTTTTACAGTTAGGGCACAAGTATGTATGTTACTGCTTTTTATTAGTTATCTCCTGAACCTTTTACTAGATACTAAAATGTCACTGAACTAGCCTTATGGTAATTGTGAGATTACTGGAAGCAGCCAGTTAAATATTTGTTACTGTTTTCTCGTAAATAATATTAATGGTGATATTATTCATATTAATTGTATAAATTCTATTTAAAGGGGTCATATGATGCGATTTCAAGTTTTCCTTTCTCTTTGGAGTGTTACAAGCTGATTGTGCATAGATAAGATCCCTGAAGTTGCAAAGACTAAAGTCTCAAAACCAAAGAGATATTCTTTATCAAAGTTAAGACTCTGCCACGCCCCCCTAAAACGGCTCGTTCTAACACACCCCCACATATCTACCTCACTATGTGGAAATATTAGCATAATGCCGCCCAAATGTGCACGCAAAGAAAGAAGGCGTGGTTTCAGTAACCGCAGTTAGTGTTGAAGCAGCATGTCAGGGAGACGCTGTGTGTTTCTAGGAGAAAGCAAAAGCACTTTATTTGGCCTTTCGAAAGTAGATGCATTTAGGAATCTTTAAGATTACTTAATTACAAGATTACAACAGAACAGCAATGCAGTTTATGGACGACCGTTTCGTGAACCTAGAGGAGGTAATTCTGACTTTACTATGACAATCTGGCGCTTCTGAATCAACTACTGTTTTGTTATTAGTTTAAGTATTTGCTATCGACTGTTCAAATTGTAAAATCACTTAGATTTGATTTTGCACTTATGTGTTTATTTTGTTATCCAGGTCTACTTTTTGGTTAATTAAACTTTCTGTTTCTTTATAAGAATTTCCAAGGTATTGTTAAATTGTAAAACTACACTATGTGGTCTTCATCAAAGTTTATTGATTGATTAATAATATATAATAGACTATCAGAAACTGTAGTCAATATATTGTATAGAATTACAACATATGAAACACACTGTGACACTGGAACCAGCATGAAATAAATCAAATCACTCACAGTAAAAAAAAAACGACAACACTCAACTAGATTCTGTGATGTAGCCCTGCAGCTGTGATGTCTCCTGCAAATAATTTAGTACAGTATTGTTGAACTTGTCAGTAAATCTTATTGTTTGATTTCTGACTGCTTGCAGCAGTTTTTGCTGGTAATGCACATATTAACGTCAGGTGCAACAACAATAATTGGTGTTAGCATAACCTGTAATTGATCACATGCAACTCCTATGAAGTGAATGTTTAGATGCATCCATTTGCATGTAACTCAGCATGCCAGTCATCTGTCTCAGTGAGCTGTGGCATCTGTCTGGCTTCAGACATGGCGAGTGTGGTCACCAGGTCAAGGATTTGGCTAACTTGCACCAGCTGCGTGGAGATTAACTGGCTGAACGTATGGTCCTGTGACGCACGGATCCCACAAGCTGCGGTATTCAGAGCATATGTGGCAGAATAATAGTAACTATTAATAATAATAGTCTAATTGTGTGGTTTTGGGGAAGGGTTATGAAAAAGACTGCAGCATTGATGAATAGCTTGTATTCAGGTTAGTATTTATTGGGTTTCTGTTTCATTTCATATAAAGCATGCTTGAGTTTTACTGCCGTGGTCTTTATAGAGGAAGCCAGCGTGCAGCCGTATTCATTGAAGATGTTTTTGCTGCACGTTTCCTGTTTGCTTTGTCGACTTTGTGGCATTTGTGCTGTTCGAGACACCTGTGTTTTTTTTGAGCAGCAAGTGTGAAGCTGCACTCTACAGTCATTCAGCTAGTGGCACATGGCTGCTACAGAGTGTGCAATGCATGTGTTCTGTTGTATATGTAGGGTGTGGTTGATGCTGACAAGAATTGAACAGCGTGTACAGGGTGTGGTTTGTTCAGTGTGATGATTGTGGATTCCAGTCTTTAACTTTATCTACTTCCTCCTTATGTCTGTTGAAATGTCTTTACATGAATTTCAGAGTTATGTTGTTGGCAGTGAGCACTGAACTTATGATTATTCTGGTTTGTTACTTAGTTTCTGTTGACTTGTTTATGTATGTTTTTGCTAGTCAATTAATTTTCTCAATTGTTTTTCCATTCGTTCATTCTTTCATTTGTTCGTTCTGTTTCTAGTTTTGTATTATTTCATTTGCCTTCCTGTAGTCAAACAGTAGCACATGACACTGGCAACCACAAGGTCATGGGTTCAATTCTCAGAGAAAGCAAGTAATGATAAAATGATTATTTTGAATGTAGTTTGTCACTTTGGATAAAAGCTTCTGCCAAATGCATAAATAAAATGTTATGTAAATTTGTCCGTTCATTCATTTATGATTTGTTTGATTTTTAGTTCATTCATCTGTTCATTATGTTATTGGTTTGTACAGTCATTTATTCATGTGTTTTTGTTCATTCTTTCATTTGTTGTTTCTCTTTGACTTTTACAGGTGGGCTCTCTGCTACCTGTTTGCCCTGGTAACGTGTTGCCATGCCCTTCCCTTTCGGTAAGTCTCACAAGTGTCCAGCGGACATTGTGAAGAATCTAAAAGACAACATGACCATTCTGGAGAAGCAGGACATTTCAGACAAGAAGGCTGAGAAGGTATTAAAGATATATGCAATATATGCAATCTGTTTGCGCTTGTACTATGACTATTACCCATTAAAAGCCATTAATGAGAGGGGGGTGTGTCCGCAGGCCTCTGAAGAGGTGTCCAAATCTCTGCTGGCCATGAAGGAGATTCTCTACGGCACGAATGAGAAGGAGCCGCAGACAGAAGCTGTGGCTCAGCTCGCTCAGGAGCTCTACAACAGCGGCCTGCTCAGCACCCTCGTCGCAGATCTGCAGCTCATCGACTTTGAGGTGCTTTTATAGACTTTAGAGTTTAATAGACTAGGCCGGAAAATGACACGAAATTTCACAAAGTTGCAGAAAGTTACTCAAAATCTAGTTATTTTTTATTTTTTTACTTACATCAAGACATTTACATTTATTCATTTAGCAGACACATTTATACAAAGTATGAGTCAAAACGACCTACGCATGACAAATGAATCACATTGTGATGTGGAGGTGTTCAGCCTTTCTGGCTTTGAGGCTGTAATGACAAAGCTGCTCATTTATAAACATTTTATTTATTAACAGAAACTAAGAATGGTCTTTTAAATTAGTTTAATTAAATATTTATGTAAATCTTATAAATTAATGATCATGATGATGCTTAATTATAATGGAAGTAATTACCAAATCAAAATTCATTTTCTGTAATTACAGAAATTTCAACAACCGAATGCGTTTGCACTTTTTATTAATATAATGTATAATAATTATTTGAATTAATTTTATTAATAAATGTATTTACAGTATTCATTTTTTATTTTTTTTCTACCTGATAAAATATTTTAGAACTTAATGTAACTAAAAAAAACAAAAAACGTACTTCACTTTTTTTATACTTTGTTGTTTTCATTTGATAAAAAAAAAATTTTTTAGAGTTCCCATATAAATATGTAAAATCACTTAGATTTGATTTTGCACTTATGTGTTTATTTTGTTATCCAGGTCTACTTTTTGGTTAATTAAACTTTCTGTTTCTTTATAAGAATTTCCAAGGTATTGTTAAATTGTAAAACTACAATATGTGGTCTTCATCAAAGTTTATTGATTGATTAATAATATATAATAGACTATCAGAAACTGTAGTCAATATATTGTATAGAATTACAACATATGAAACACACTGTGACACTGGAACCAGCATGAAATAAATCAAATCACTCACAGTAAAAAAAAAACGACAACACTCAACTAGATTCTGTGATGTAGCCCTGCAGCTGTGATGTCTCCTGCAAATAATTTAGTACAGTATTGTTGAACTTGACAGTAAATCTTATTGTTTGATTTCTGACTGCTTGCAGCAGTTTTTGCTGGTAATGCACATATTAACGTCAGGTGCAAACAAAGCTGCTCATTTATAAACATTTTATTTATTAACAGAAACTAAGAATGGTCTTTTAAATTAGTTTAATTAAATATTTATGTAAATCTTATAAATTAATGATGATGATGATGCTTAATTAAAATGGAAGTAATTACCAAATCAAAATTCATTTTCTGTAATTACAGAAATTTCAACAACCGAATGCGTTTGCACTTTTTATTAATATAATGTATAATAATTATTTGAATTAATTTTATTAATAAATGTATTTACAGTATTCATTTTTTATTTTTTTTCTACCTGATAAAATATTTTAGAACTTAATGTAACTAAAAAAAACAAAAAACAATTTCTTGCTTTTTTAATATTTTATTAATTTTGCATGACTTTTCCAGGTCTAAATATCACAAAATTTTAAATTCCCTTGATATACAAGTTTTCCAAGACTATGTTGTATGAACCTTGATTCTTAAATAAAAAGCAGTTGTTAAGGAAACAAATTAGAATAGGAAATAAAATAACCACTTATATCTTTATTTTAAAGAACGTTTAATCTTATTTTAAATCATTTTAAGCCAGCTGTGCTGAGGCCCCCTAGTGGTTCTCAACTGCCTGGTTGAGAATCACTGGTCTAGCCGCTTAAAGGGTTAGTTCACCCAAAAATGAAAATTAGGTTGCGTTTTACTCACCCCAGAGGCATCCTAGGTGTAAATGACTTTCTTCTTTCAGACGAATCCAGTCGGAGTTATATAAAAAATTGTCTTTGATCTTTCATGCTGTTTAATGCCACTCAGCGGGTGTTGCATTGCTTCAGTCCAAAATAACTTAAATAAAAATTGCCCATCCATAAAAAAAGTGTCTCTCACGGCTCCGGGGGGTGAACAAAGGCCTTCTGTAGCGAATCGATGCGTTTTTGTAAGATATTCAAAACGTAATAATCACTTGAATCTAGCTTGCGCTCACTGTTGTAGCCCTTTAACGTAATTATTACAAATTCAACTTTGTTTAATAGGTAAGAAACAACCATTCAATGGAAAACATGAATTGAAAAACCTTCCTTTATGTATCCTCAAAAGAGATGCTCCCCTCAATGCCATCTAATCAAAAGTGGCTTCTTATTTTGCAACTGAGAGACGTTAATACTGTGTGTATTCGGCATTCTGTCTTGACTGGCCACTTGTGATCAGATCAGCTGAGATACAGTTTGATACCAGTTGTAAACCATTGTACATGTTCATTTTATCTCTCAGATTCCCATTTGTGAAATGCATGCTTGTTTTTTGATCAGTTGAGCTTTTCAGTAACTGTTCTGCATGTTATTTGTGTTTAGGGCAAGAAAGATGTGGCACAGATCTTTAATAATATTCTGAGACGTCAGATCGGCACTCGGACACCTACAGTCGAATACCTGTGCACTCAACAAAATATACTCTTCATGCTGCTTAAAGGGTGAGACGTGTGCACAAACATATTCTGAAGACATTTATTTGATTTATTATATATATATATATATATATATATAACCTGAAATTTTGCAGTTGTCAGTCTAGCCCAATTTGCTTTTTTGATTTAAGGTGTTTAGATCACATCTCAACTAGAGAACTGGTTTGGTGACTAATATGAGTTTTTAGAGAGGTTTTTCTGATCCCAGAATATACTCCTAAGATAACCTTATGAGTAAACTTTAGCTGTGTGGGGTACATCAGCGATATCATCTTAAATGTGAATATTTTGGTAGTTCCCTGTCAAAATGTGAATTTTGTTATCACCCAAATGTTGTTTTAGACTTTCTGTGTACCACAAGATCAGATGTTCAGACACGTTGATGCTTTTCTATACAATTGAAATGAATGGTGACCAAGGGTCAAACTCCATAAAGCACCCTAAAAGTAGGCCATATGACTTCAGGGCTTGAAATGAGTATAGATTACTCTTGTGGGGCCTTTTTGTCATTTTTAGAGCTTGACAATCTTGACAACTTTGTTTTATTGTATGGAAAAGAACTGAGCAGCATGAACATTAGCATCTCCTTTTCGGTCTTTGAAAGAAACTCAAACATGTTTGGATCTACATGAGCCATGTGTATATGTTGGCCAAATGTTTCTGATGTTGAGTTCCTGTCCTTTTTGTAGTTACGAGTCTCCAGACATCGCTCTGAACTGTGGGATCATGCTGAGGGAATGCATACGGCACGAGCCGCTGGCCAAGATCACCCTCTGCTCCGAGCAGTTCTACGATTTCTTCAGATACGTGGAGATGTCCACCTTCGACATCGCCTCGGATGCATTTGCCACTTTTAAAGTTAGTGTTTTTGTAAATGTACAAGCTTTGAGTGTTTGTTTGGTCTGGGTGGCATCTTTGATTATTTCATCTTCAGATGCACTGTATAATTATGTCTGATGAATTCCATTTGTTTGGTTTTCTTCCAGGATTTGCTGACGAGACACAAACTGCTCAGCGCTGAGTTTCTGGAGCAGCACTATGACAGAGTGAGTCATTGGTTTGCTGTCCGTCATTGTCTGTTGTTTTTGGATCTGATTGGATCTGTCAGTAGCTATGTTTCCATCCACCTATTTTTATGCGCATTTTGGATGATCGCATAAAAAACCTGCTAGATGGAAACGTCAAGATGTGCATAAATTCTAAAAATGCGCATAAACCATTTATGCACTCAGCTAAGTAGGATAAACTTTTTATCCGATAAGAAAAAATGCACATAAACTACGATGGAAACACATTTACCGAATAAATTCCACCAATGCGCATCGAAAAAGTCATGTGACTTTGCGCTATGAGACGGGATAACTTGACTAACCAGCAGACCGATCTCGTTCACAGCATCTATATGTTGTTTTGGTCATTCTGAAATGCCTGAGGAAAGTCTGTCATCAAAGTATTTCTGTATAATTACTATCTTACATGACTGCGTTCCCAAACAAAAGGCATCCACCTCTAAAAGCAATGACCGCATTTATTGTGTTACATCTGCTCTCTCTGAAGCACAAGTAATTTATTACATATGAAAATGTATATTCAGTGGCTTCTCCTAGTTTTCTTTAGTGCCAGTTTATCAGGAAGTGACGATTTTGTTCTCTTTGACTCGTTGGATGGAAACGGTGCTTTATTCGCAAATGTTTTATGCGATATTCCAGTTTTGCGCAGAAGTCAAATTCGCATCTTTGGTGGAAACATAGCTAGTCATTCTGCAGTGAGTTCTTCTCAGAACTGTTTGTATTTAATGTGAAAGTCAATACAATTGGAAGTGATTCGAATTTTAAGTGGGCCCAAAGAGTATATGAGCACTTATGTCGGACTTCAAAAATGTCTTAATGCATTATATAACAAAATACCAAGAAATGCTACTAGAGCTTTTCTCAGAACTAACTTCATGCCATCATATTTGCACAATGACTTTTTAATTAACTGATTTGATTTTATTGGATGCATGAAGTCAGTTCCCCTCATGTTCTTCAGATTAACTGTGGGCGGCTTTCAGTAACATTTGGCAACCACGTGTCCAAATACTTTTGTAATAATTTTGGACCATATATATATATATATATATATATATATTGTTCTTGACATTTAAAATCAAACAAACTACTTCTTATGAAGTGCTTTGCTTGGAAATAAATAAATGCCACTTTGTTCGATATTTTATCAAATGCAAGTGTGCCATAAGTATGCAAAGAAGCCAAACAACTTTATATTTACTTATTTATCCCTTTCCTGTCTTTTTTTCCTGACTTTTGATCTTCAGTTCTTTAGTGAATATGAGAAACTTCTTCACTCAGAAAACTACGTGACTAAGAGGCAGTCGCTAAAGGTAAGAAATGTGTAAATTTGTGTGTTCATTGTGCTTATTTAAACTACCGTTTGACGGTTTGGGATAATTACGATTTTTAATTAATTTATTTATTTATTTGTTATATTAAATCTCTAACCAAGCCTGAAATTATTTAATCAAAAATACAGTAAAAATGGTAATATTGTGAAATATTACAATTTAAATTAGCTGGTCTCCATTTGAATATATTTTAAAATGTAATTTATTCCTGTGATGCAAAGCTAGTGTCACATGATCCTTCAGAAATCATTCTAATATGTTAATTTACAGCTCAAGAAATATTTTTTTATAACTGTTGAAAATGGTTGTGCTGCTTAATGTTTTTGTGGAAACCACAAATAGAAATCTTTTGTAATATTATAAATGTTTTTACTGTCACTTTTGTTCAATGTAATGCACCTTTGATTAATAAAACATTTAATTTATTAAAAAAAAAAAAAATGTTTAGCCCTAACTTTGAATGGTAGTGTGTATCTGTTTATGTGTATAGTTGCTGTGGAATATTACAGCTCTATAATGCATTTATGATGTCATTCCTCTTCATCCCAGCTTTTGGGAGAGCTGCTTTTGGACAGGCACAACTTCACTATAATGACAAAGTACATAAGCAAACCAGAGAACCTCAAACTCATGATGAACCTACTGAGAGACAAGAGCCGCAACATCCAGTTTGAGGCCTTTCATGTATTTAAGGTATGAATTGTCAGCTGAATCTTCCCAGTTCAACATCACTCACCAATATGCCATCCCAAAACTTGTCTCAACCTTCATCATAAGTTCTTTCTCTATGCATTTAGGTGTTTGTGGCCAATCCGAACAAGACCCAGCCAATCCTCGACATCCTGCTGAAGAACCAGCCCAAACTCATTGAGTTCCTCGGCAAGTTCCAGAACGACCGCACCGAGGATGAGCAGTTCAGTGACGAGAAGACCTATCTCATCAAACAGATCCGAGACCTCAAGAGGCCAACCCCGCAGGACGCTTGAGAAGGCTCACGAATGTATAGAGGACGTCTAGACAGTGTTTTAGGCAGCGTCTGGACGATGTTTGGCTCTCTGGGACATTGAGTGGCCGCAGCGCTGGGCATGTTTTTGTGTTTTGCAGGAACCGTTAAATGCCATTTGAGCTCGGTGGGCGAGAAATATGACCACGAGGAGGAAAAGTAGTCATGCTTCGCTGGACATTCAACCTCTCCCCCTACAATGTTTTGTTCTCATGTTTCAAAAAATGAGCAAAATGAACAGAAAAGACGGATGTAGATGCTGCTGCTTTATTGCACATAAAGAAGGAGGGTTTTGTACCTCATTCACAAGCATACACTCAAATGTCTGTTGATGCTAATTGGATATTAATGAATTCCAGGAAATTTAACATGCAAAAAGCACTTCAACACACTCCTGTCAGCTCTTTTGCTCATTGTCGGCTAGGTGAAAAACTGCAAATGTGATGCATAAATCATGCTTTGCACATTCCCAGATTCATTTGCAAAGGCGGAAATGAGTAAACGTGTTGACTGAGGAGGGTTTAGTGATTTGTTAGAGTTGTGGCTGTGATGTTAACCCTGATTTAACACCATTCTTCTCTCATCATTAGTCACTGCGCAGAGTGGGTGTAATGGAAAGTTAACTTGTCTGCTTTCTTTACCTTAAGATTTGTGCTCTGACTCCGTTTTTTTTTTAATACTAGTTTCAGTATTACTAACCCCACTACTCTTACCTTTTATTCGGTTTATATGTTAAATTGTCCCTTGTAAACTCTCCCCAGTTCATGGGTGAAATCTCACAAAGAAACATGTCTAGGTCACATTTCACCCCAACAAAAGAAAAGAAAAAAAAAGGTTTCGTGTTTTTGACTAAATCCACCAGCTTACACACTGTATCTTCCTTTTTTAGTAGGTTTTTAGTTGGGGAAAAAATAACGAGTGTGATTTGTTATTTGCAGCAGACTAATCTGAAATGGTTGGATGTAGAGAAACAGCTCATATTAGCACCTGATTGTGTCTGCTGAGAGAAACTTCGAGCAGTCATGTCCTTTATGAATGTTTTATTTAGATTTGTTTTAACAACAGTGCAGTGGTTGCTGCGGGTTGTCATTTAATACTTTAAATCTGGTGCAAGAATGAAAAACCACACAAAACTGAAAGTGATTGGAGGGTTTGGTTGATCATTTTCGAAATATGGTTGGCATTACTGCTTTTACTCACAAGACAGCCACAATCATCTACCATAAAACCCTTCATTTCTCCCCTAAGCGAAAGCAGGTGTTATTCATAATGGTAACTCTTACTCATTCTCAATGCAGAACTTTATCTGAACTTCCATAAAACATGTTCTGCCGAATGTTTACAGGACTGGTCAGAATAACAGGGATTGACATGTCTATAACAGTATTTTATTTTAGTGAAACCTACAATAAACTTTACGTAGCTTAAGATAAGCATATACGGTTTATGTGGTGACGGGCAACTCACCATTGGTTGCACATGTAACAACAGCCAATCACAGTCATCTTGTATGCCTGACATCATAATTGCCCAGAGCATTAAGAATTCTGAGAATTAGCAAACTTATCTTGCATATCAGTGCATGTTTCTATTTTGCAGCCTTAGATTAAGCATGGACATCTAACGGATGGGCTGGAAACCTCTTGGCCTGCTGTCCGTTCAATTAAACAGTCCAGTCTAACCTATGTAGATCTGGCCCAAGTAATAAGACTTGGGCACAAAAATGGTGGAGTTTCATCTTGAAATATCAATCAGTAGCCAGACTAACAGTTGGAAATAAAGTTTGGAATAAAATAATTGTTTCTACTGTCTTTTTTCTTCGATTAGCAGTGTTTATTCACTAAAATACATGGTGAAACCATTTTGGACCTTGTAACAAGGTAATGCCATTATATTATAACATTACGGCACCTTTTATACGTTTATGTGTATAGATAGATAGACAGACAGAAAGATAGACAGACAGACAGATATATAGATATATAGATAGACACAGACAGACAGATAAGATAGACACAGATAGATAGATAGACAGACACAGATATATAGATAGACACAGACAGACAGATAAGATAGACACAGATAGATAAGATAGACACAGATAGATAGACACAGACAGACAGATAAGATAGACACAGATAGATAGATAGACAGACAGACAGATAGACACAGACAGATAGACACACACACACACAGACAGATAGATAGACACAGACAGATAGACACACACACAGACAGACAGAGAGATAGACACAGACAGATAGATAGACAGACAGATAGACACACACACACACAGACAGACAGATAGATAGACACAGACAGATAGATAAGATAGGCACAGACAGATAGATAGACACAGACAGACAGATAGATAGACAGATACACACACAGACAGATAGATAGACACAGACAGACAGATAGATAAGATAGGCACAGACAGATAGATAGACAGATAGACACAGACAGACAGATAGATAGACAGATAAGATAGACATAGATAGATAGACAGACAGACAGACAGATAGACAGACAGACAGACAGACAGACAGAGACATAGACAGACAGACAGATAGATAGACAGAAAAACATACAGATAAAGAGAAAGACAGACAGAAAAAGACAGACAGACAGACAGACACAGACACAGACAGACAGACAGATAGACAGACAGACAGACACAGACAGACAGACAGACAGATAGACAGATAGATAGACAGACAGACAGACAGATAGACAGATAGATAGATAGATAGATAGATAGATAGATAGATAGATAGATAGATAGATAGATAGATATAGAGGCAGCCTGGTGGTGTCGCGCGCATCGTCTGTAATTTATAAGTCATTTTTAATATGGCATATATGAAAGTACCGTAGTATTACCATCAGATAGATAAATGAAATTATATATCTTAAAACAGCAAAATTCGTACACACGCATAAGATGTAGGCCTATACAAAACGTGCGCTTGCTTGCTCATTCTGCGTCGCGCGCATCATCACCAGCGTCGCTGGCACTGTGACTTTAAGAGCGATTTATATATATATATATATAAATAAATAATAGATTCGTCCGGGCCATTATAACAAACGGAAAATATAGTGTCAGAAAGCCGTGGGGTAACGTATAAAGGATCTGCGTTCTCGCTAAAAACGGCGTTTTTTCCCTTTCATCATGGTGAAGATTAGCTTTCAACCCATCACGGGACAAAAAGCCGAGAAAGAGGAGGGGGATGGAGATAAAACTCAAATATTCATACCGCATCCACACGTAAGTTTCGCTTCTTGTGTGCATCATGTGAAATGTCACGGAAAACTGCGGTTGAAACGAACCAAAACCCGGAAAGGAAAGAACATCCATGGCAAACCATTAATCGCGTCATTTGGTGGGCGATTATGATCTATTGATAATGCTCCATCAGCGCGTTTTTATGTATTTGTAGTTTTTCTGAAATACAGAAATATTGTTGCCCTTTGGTTTCATAACAAGAGGACATGGATGCTGCAGCACCTGCACCAATCACATCATATACCATGCATCATGTTCATCTCAACCATAGAATGTGCTCTGTATCTCCCTATGTGCTCAAAATGTGTGCATTATTCTGATATTTTAATAAAATTGCTCTTCTTTAAGCATTTAATTAAAGAACATCTTTGGTTAAACTAATATAAAATAGCTTAAAACATCTTGCCCTTCATTTTAAAATATATTAATTATAATGAATGCTTGGGTTGTTATTGTCAAAGCTTAAGGCCTTTATTCTTAAGAGTTTATAATGACAAGGAATGAAATTTGACAGTGCACCACAGGTTTATGTGTCTAAGCAACACACATATAGACACAAATCCAATAGAGACAAAATGGCAGATGGCTACGGTGAGGAGAAATGACTTCCGTGAGCTTTAGCTGTTTAATATCAGCGTGTATGTGTGGGTTTTGCTGTCTTTGGGGACCAAATTACCTCTTAACAATGAAAAAACAAGGTGAAGTGAGTAATTCATGGCCCACTAGCATCTCTAATTATTCCTTTTGTCAGAGAATGCATATTTCCCTGCTATAAAAAAAAAAGTAAAAATCATGTCAATTGGGTATGAGTATGCAGTATTCAAGAAACAAAGGCAGGGAATGTTGTCATAACGTTCTGGTGAAGTTTCCTTGAAGTTATAAACAAATCAGAGACAGAAAAGTTATAAACAAATCATTAATAGAATGCTTGTTCAAAGTTATCTGGTCTTTAATAGCATTCTCAAAACATTAGCACAGAAATGTTATTTATACATCGTTCATGGAACATTATACTGACATTACTGCTTACTACATGTTACTGTTGAAAAAACCAACATATGCTGGTTAGGTATGTTTTGATGCTGAGATGCTGGTTTAAGCTGGTCCTTTGCTGGTTTATGCTGGTTTAAGTATACTGAACATTAAAATGTAACATTACCATAAAACTGATAAAAATGGAACATTTACTGAATGTTTTCTATAACCTTTGTATTCAGTAATAATGTTTTCATAACTTAAAGGGAACAATATGGCAATGGGGGCAATATCTGGCTGACTTCCTGCATCCACAGAGATGCTAAATTGTGCAGTCGTTGGACACTTTGCTTTCCCATAAGGCCATGGGAGCTGAGGATCCAGAACTGAAAAATACAAAATGAGGAGAGAGAGAAAAAGATACAGACTTGACTTTAAACAAATAATGTTTTTGTTTTGTTTTGTAAAAATGCTTAGCATTTTTAAAATATTTCAAATCGATCTTGCATCTTAATGCAAAAACGATAAGCTGATAAGTCAAAGGGAAGTCACCATCATTATATCAAACCAAACGTTCTTGTGTGAGTTAAGAATGAGGCCAGATCAGGCCATGTGCTGTGCAGTTGGCAGATGGGTTGCAAGACTGGGGGCGCTATTAGTCATTGCCTATCGGCATCTCGCATCTAATAATTTCCCGCTGTAGTACGAGAGCGCTGATTAATCCATTCTTGGCTGCACGGCATACAAGTGAGTGTAGTGCCGATTGTAGCACGTCTCCCAGTGTGTGGGTGATCATACTGAAAGTGGCACGGCATATTGAGGACATGATGAATTCATTTCTGCTTTGTGTGCGTATGGGTGTGTGTGCGTTGGGTTTTGCCATCTTGGTAAGGAGCAAATGTCCCTGCAGAGATAGTACAACCTAAAATGACCTACTTTGTGGAGGCCTGTGGGAGGAGCTCATGATGAAAACAACTTCATAAAGGGGCTAAATGTCTTCATTCAAATTAGGGTGTAGTAGTATGCTAAGGGAAATAAAAATTTGTAAATGTCCCTAATATGATATAAAAATATATGTGTGTGTGTGTATTTGTAGGTGGACGAGGAGCTGGTCTTGCCTATCGGACGGAAACGCTCCTCTCTGAGTGGACTCTGCTGTCTGACAACTGCACTGATAGTCTTCACCTGCAGTTTGATATATGCTTCAATTTATATCTACCGCTACTACATCATTCCTCAGGTAGCACACAATTATATGAGTGGCATAAAACCCGAAACACACTGCACGATTTTTGGCTGTCCCAGACGAAAAATTGGCATCGTGAAACAATCGTGGCGATTTCTGTGATCGTGGCTCCAAATCAGTGGTCCTGTGTCGTACAGTGAGAAAGGTTCAAAGACGGCTGTTGTCACGGTCTTGCGAACAAAGATAGCCTACGATCATTTTCTGCCAGTGTCAGAAATACAGCATGATCATCGCACAGTGTCCTTGCTGCTACGACCCACGTTTGCTGACCAGCCCCCCCAAAAAACGCGACATGGTGCTAAAACATAAAACT